AAGTGGATAGCAGTTGATAACAAAGCATTGTAGGCGATAACGAGCGACAACGAACTTGCTTAGCTTCTATAGTGAATGGCGGCGACGCCAGCTTGGGGGGGGGGGGGGAACAACAAAAGGTGATAGCAGTGGAAACAGACCAACCTGAATGACGTGACTACCTCGTAGACGAGGTCGATTGTCGTTGATAGGAATGATAGAGAATGTCATCCAGAATGGGATCCGACGTCCTTTACGGAACGCTGATTCAGCTACCAAATGCAGCCGATCCGTACGAGATTCCGATCCCGAATGGGAATAGATAAGTCTGAACATTTTTTTGAGTCTTGATGAACCCTTAGAGCGCGGTCATACTTCGTGAATCGGTCGCTCGAGCGATTCGATCGCGCGTTCAAGCGACTGGATCGCGAAGTGTAAACGGGCTCTCAGGACATGTGTGAGCCAGCAGTAGAAGGTACCTTTCTTCAGCTATATCTCGAGTGGTGAAGTTCATCCCTGTGCTCAGGGTTCTGTTGGTGAAGTTTGACGTTTTCAGCAGGAGCGATCCATGGGTGGGTGCCATCGCCAAGGTGAAAACGAAAAACGAATCATCCGGAGTGGCCAGCGACAAGGAATCTTGGGTGATCTGAAAGCGTCTGGTCTCAAAGACTTAGTCCACGCTGACAGCATGGGTGGAGCCAGGCCTACCGTGCGCTTCGTCTTTAATGCGCCTCGCCTTTTTTTAATTGACGAAAAGGACGGAACGACAATAAGAAAGTCATAATAGCGGACCTGGCTCCGCTCATAGCTCATAGCGGAGATTGTATAGTAATTTCTCGATTTCAAGGCTACCATCGAGTTTACCATTCAGCTGCATTTTTTAATTAACACGTTTCGGACTGGAGCCTATTTTGTCTAGCGTTTCACAGTGAAGCCGTGAGCCGGTTTTTCCTATGCAAGGCTGGCTTGACACACCATGTGTGTCACACGGTCCAAAATGTGTTAAAAGTTATAACCTGAAACGGTAGGAAAAACGTACCGTAGCCGATTCGCCTTCCTGAACAACGACAGTACGGTTTACCAGTTGAATGGATGTCTGTGAAGGGACGAAAATTATCTGAAACATTTCTATTTATCGGCTTCATTCATTTATCGTGATTTCACAGCATCAAACATAAAGTAGAGCCGTTCGGATGATTGGCAGGGGGAGCACTTTGTGGGTTTGGTAGGTTCTTTCGCTTGTCCTGTTGAAGTCCACGCCTCACATTGGCTGCATCGAATATGCGCCAAGACAATTGTAACATGCCGAGCGGGTGGGCGTGGCGAGCGACGCCGCGTCCGGAAGACGAGTTGTCCTGTTCCGAAATCGAGTTTCAGGGATGGAGAGGTGCGATATCCCCGTCATAGAGTCTTGTTCCCCTTAGATTCATACGAGTGAGACCTACAGACCCTTGTCAAGTGTGAACAAAGCTTGCTGCTGCATAGCTTTACGGGAATTCAAAAGTCTCCCATGAAGACCGGCAATGATCGATAAGAAACAGCGAAATGCCCCCACCAAGCCGAACTGCGCCAATAAAAATTGCGTACCCACCGGTACACCACTGAAACGCCGTGCATTTCTGGCTTCCATTCAGATGTGTAGGGTTGCATGTGTAGCCATTTGGTGTTACGTACAAGGGCTGGTGATCTTCCACCTGAGGTGTTCTCCTTCCGAACAGGTAACAGACCACTTGAGAAACCCCAGTAAGCCTTATTTCTGACATGGGTGGAAGACGACCTTACAAAATGTACAGGTTTTAGACGGCGCCCTCATCCACTGCTTTTAAAGCATTTCCTATGATGGTCGTATTAGTCGAGTCACTTTCTTACGGTATCGTCGTTCACGGGTCATCCGCACCACTTGAGGGCGCAGTTCGCCGACGGGGGGGGGGGCACTTTCACTGCTTCACTAGTTCCGGTTTACAAGTCTCACTCTGGTGAAACCTGTGAACTCTTGTGTAGCTGGAGCAAGCTCGTCCAGCCACCATGATAAAACCTGTCAACTCTCGTAAGGCTCTCTCGATGGCTCGACACGTCGATGGGAAGTGGCAAAAGTGCGAAAAGCCCCCCCCTTCGCCGAACTGCGCCTCACTTGAGTTTCAAAAAGCTAGCAATCTCCACTAACCTCAAATCGTAGAGATTCCGAGGAAATTGCAGGTGTAATCACACGGAAAAGAAAAAAGTCATTGATGATCGAATATTGCATGAAGTGAAGCTTGAACGAGATCAATCGATTGTCGATGTCCTGAAAAGCGCTGAAACTATTCAGGAACTGATTTTCATTTTTTTGAAGCAAAATTTCAGTGTTACTTGAAAAAAACATCCCAGTGTAGTTACTTACACTTTATTATACTACAGCTGAGTATACCACTGAAGGAAAACGCGTGGAAAAATCAATATTGGAAAACATTTTTTTTGGAAAATTCTGAGCATCCAAGGTGCGGAGCGTGCCGCTTATAGGATAAAACGGAGCTAAACTTTTCGCCGCAGGGCACAATCATTGGTTGCTGGGATTTTAATCGACGTCTGTAGCGACCCCCTCCCCTTTTGCAGAGCTGATACGGACCTCCCCCAGGTGGTAAAATAGCACATGTGAAACAGGAAATCACCAAAAGTCAACCACCACTCCTACAACGCCAAAACGTAAATACGACCCCCCTCCCTTTACAACGTCCATGACGCGAGAAAAATCAACTATCAAAATAAATTTTTTCCAGCCCAAATACGACCCCCCCTCCTTGCGCTAGCCAAATTACGACTCCCCCTAGTGCCGGGATTCCCCAACAACCCTGCGTCGCCGTGATCACTTTTTGGCGGAAGCGTTGTGGCGCCTACTTTCCTTTGACTGTGCCTTGCTGGCCCTAATGGCATTAAGGCGTGCGGACTTCCGGATCCTGAGATTGCAGCGGTTTCGGAGTTCTGCCAGGGTGGAAACGTTTTGCACCCCCACGACTGCCATTGTCACCTGGAGGCTACTTTGTTCTATAAGCATTCAGTCGGAATACAAGTATGAGACAGGTGTTGAACAGCTGATACGATGAAAGTGTACGGCCACGTGGCCTGATAGGAGTTGTTGCAAAATTTTTGCTCCATGGGAGGATCGAACTCCCGACCTCGGCATTTCTCAGTCTTATAAGTACCACGCGCTAACCAACTGCGCCAATGGAGCACGTCCGTGAATTACAATAACAAACTAATTGGTTTAGAATTTCAGTGTAAAAACGCATTTGTTCACGTTCAGCCAATCATAAGGTCAATAATGACGGGTGTCCCGCCACAGCCCGTGCTTCCGTGGCGCAATAGGCAGCGCGTTCGGCTGTTAACCGAAAGGTTGGTGGTTCGAGCCCACCCGGGAGCGAACTTTTGCAACACTGGCTGTCCCTTGCAAATCGGCTCACAGATCGGGCAGGCATCGGGCTGGACTAAAATGGCATGTTCTGCCGCTGAAGAAAATTTTCTTTCCCAATTTCGTCCCCTGCTACCACACACCCCTTCACTATCCTCCAACTTTTCCCAGCCACCTATCACATTTTCCGTAATATTTCCCGAAAATTTTCCAGTTTTCCCAAAATTTTCCCGAAAATTTCGCCGTCGAGCTGGGCAGGTCGTCAGTCAGGGACCAACTACTAGTTTCAACTATCGAGTAGTCAAGAAT